CAAGCGAGGCAGAATGCTGATCTGATTTTCATGTTTTCTCAGCTCCTCTATTTATACTCGTTTCAACCATACATTCTCATCATTTCAATCATTCGCATCAGTAAAAAGCTTATTCAATGTATGTACTACACTATTATACAATCTTAACCACAATGCTAACCGTACTAAATTGAAGTCATCGAACGAACGCCTTCGAAACTTTCTGGTTGGCTGGTTGAATCTGCTATATTGCTTATATATATATATATATATATATATATATATATATATACATATATATATAACAAAAATTCATTATAAAAGCAACAGTAATCAGTGCTATATATGTAAGCACGCAGTTCACATTTTTCGGTGAGAATTCAAAATAGTTTGAGACCACACCTTGCTTATCATCCGATTCCAAGCCAAGCCAAGCCAAGCTGAGCCAATATGCATAGATTTATAAGCGCTTTTATGTTAAAATTTTGCTCGTTATATTTATATATTTTATAAATTCATTATAAAAACAACAGCAATTATTGCTATATATGTAAGTACGCAGTTCAAATTTTTCGGGGAGATTTTGAGACCACACCTTGCTTAACATCCGATTCCAAGCCGAGCCAAGCCTATCTATCTATCTATCTATCTATCTATCTATCTATCTATCTATCTATCTATCTATCTATCTATCTATCTATCTATCTATCTATCTATCTATCTATCTATCTACCTACCTACCTACCTACCTACCTACCTACCTACCTACCTACCTACCTACCTACCTATCTATCTATCTATCTATCTATCTATCTATCTATCTATCTATATATCTATATATCTATATATCTATCTATATATCTACATATCTTTCTATCACTTAGAGTTAAGTTCACTTTTCAATTAAATATGCTTTCTCTTTGCTGACTTCACGGTTAACAAAATTTAAATGTAAACTTAATTGATAATTTTCACGTGAAATAATTATATGGACATTAAGAGCTGCAAGATAAACTTTAAAATGTAAAGAAGGTGAAAGTAATAAATTTCAAATAATGAACACAAAATGGCCGAAAAATGGCAATGTGACATATGCACTTTGTTAAATCCAAATCTAGTCAGAACCTGTGAAGTTTGTGGTGCCCCCAAAAAGCTTTCTAATAAAAATTATAATTCACAACCTGTCAACAATTTCAATTTATCAAGCAACATCGGTAATGATGCTTGTCTTGTTCATAATAATGTGATAAATGCCAAACCCAGTAGTACAGCAAATTCAAGCTCAGGAATAGGAAAGATTACTCCAGAGAGAAACAGTGACAATGAAATCAGGAATTGGACTTGTGTTGTTTGTTCGTTTGCCGAAAACAAATCATCATACATGGCATGTAAAATATGTGACAGTCATCGGTTTCCAGCTTCAGCCAACAACAACAGCAACAGATGCTGCTGCATTTGTGGCAAGCAGTGCACATCCATTAATGATGATGAAACAAACCTCTGCATTGCCTGTATCAACTTACAAATTTCACAAGCAGCATCCATGCAAAATGTACTACAATCTTCTGAGCCTTGTAATGAAAAATTTGAAATTCATAAAGGTGCTGCATTTTCTAAAGAAGTTGAACGAATTATTCAATATTGTAAAATGGTTTGTTGTTTAGTTTAAAAAAGACAAATTTGTTTATTAATGTTTTACATTTGTTTAAACGAAACACTTTTGCAGAACAAGGTAACATTTATAGATGATTCATTCCCTCCAACCGACAAATCAATATTTCAAAAAAATCAGACCAACCTAAGAAACACTTTGAAAGCATATAAACAAATTCAATGGCTCAGACCAGCTATTTACAAGGGAGTGTATAAAATAATGGACTCTCCAAAGTCTACTGATATTGAACAAGGATTGCTAGGAAACTGTTGGTTAGATTGTTTTATTGAAAATGAACCAACGGTAAATAACAACTTGTGCTTATTCATGCATAATACAATACACATTAGCCACTATGACAGGAGGGTTTAGGGATTGAAGACCTCCATAATTTGCAGTCACCCTACTCTAAATTTTTGGTCGCCCACTTGAGAAAAGCCAATTTGATTTATCTTTGAGTCAATAAAATGAATTTATTTGATTATCTATCAGGTTCTTAAGTGCACTGGCTGTCATTGCTGAGAAGCCGTCTCTATTGGAAAATATCTTCGTTACACAAAACAGGTCTCAAGAAGGTATGTAGGAATGAAACAGTGCTAATCAGATGCTAGCCAATTTTTTAAAATATTGGTAAAACTTGTAAAATTCATTATTTACTCATTTATTTATTTATTCTTAATAATTTTTCTATTTTAATTTATTTAATAATTAATTATCAAGGTATTTACCAGCTGAGATTGTGTATACAAGGAGAATGGACAGACGTGTACGTAGATGATTTGCTTCCATGCGATGAAAATGGAAGACTGCTTTTTTCTAGGGTAATAATTAGTTTTAAAATTGTTTAAGCTAATTATTTAAAAATTATTTTAGTTCATTTAATGATTTAAAAATTTCATTGTTAAATAGAAAGTTTAAAAATTTTAAGCTTAAACTTTTAAAAATAATTTTTATTTGAAATTGCTGTAGGTGAAACGAAATCAGTTGTGGGTCCCTTTAATTGAAAAAGCTCTGGCAAAAATATATGGCTCCTACGAATCACTAAAAGCAGGCAGATGTGTTGAAGGAATGTCTCTGCTTACTGGAGCACCTTGTGAAAGTCTCATGCTAAAAAGCGGTTTAATTGATGTTTGTTGTTCTTATGTGAGGTAGCGTTCTTTCATTCATTCATTTATTCATTCATTCATTAATTCATTTATTCATTCATTTATTTATTCGTTCATTCATTTATTTATTCATTCATTTATTTGCTTGTTTAATCAAACTTACAAACATTCATTTTCACACATGCATATTCACACTCATTTCACACATGCATCCATTTATTCATCTACACAAAACTGTACTATTTGAATGAACTTGTACAACATTTTATTAATTTTTATGTAATTATTTAAAAATCTCTATTTGATAACTTCGTCATGAACGCTGTTGTATCTAAATAAAAAACAGACACAGGTTCGAGTTTAGAGAAGAATGAGAAATGCAATGTGTTGTGGGCCAAGCTTCTAAGTGCCAAAGAATCAGGGTTATATATTTTTACTTCAAATTTATTTATTAATATTGGTTCTTACTTAATTCATTTCAAAATACATTTTTAAAAGTTTTAAAATTTTTCTGAATGAACGTTATATATAAGACTTTCAAAAAAGGTTCCTGATGGGAGCATCTTGCGGAAGTGGCGACTCAATTTATAGTGAATCCTGTGGCAATGTTGGACTCGTCAACCTGCACGCATACTCAGTACTGGATATTAAGGAATTCGATAAATTGAGGTCACAATCAGTCAATTCAATCAATCAATTAGTTCAATCAATCAATTAATCCTTATGAATTTATTCAGTCAATCAAATTTTTATATACAATATACATCACCATCCTAGTGCTATATGAATTTTTTTTATCTTTTTTCAAATGTTTTTAAATTATGAAATCTAGATTGATAAAGTTTCACAATCCCTGGGGAACGTCTTCGTGGAATCAGGGATGTGCTGATTATTCACAGGAAGACTTGAAAAATTTAGGATTGTTCAACAAAAATGAAAGTCACCATAATGGTGTTTTCTGGATGGCTTATGATGACGTTTTAAAGTTCGTTATTTTATTTTTCTGTTTCATTTACTGATATTCAATTAAAACTACGTCGTTTTTCTGCCAGATATTTTCAGTCAGTTGATATCTGCAAGCACAGTTATGAATGGATAGATTACAGGATCACAAATGAAATGTCGAAAGATTTAACATCTCCAGTGTCCACCATTGATCTCGCTATTTCTTACAAACAAGAAGTTGAGTTTGGATTGTTTCACAAAGAAAACAGGTTTTTACTATACTGATTGTTTTTATTACAAACCTGAAACGAATTATAAATTTGTAGTTTTATTTAATGCTTTCCACAGACGGCACAAATCAAAAACAGCAAATAAAGCAGATCTCTTTTTTGGTGTTTATGAAACTATCAATAAAAACTCTCTAGTCGGCTCGCTAGTTGAATCCAGCTCAAGAAATTTAGGCAATTTTGTAGGGTTCAGCTGCTTCTTGAAACCTGGACATTATAGAATTGTTTGCTCATCTTTAGGACAACTTAACACTTGTTAGTCTCAACTTATTTCATCTTCAAATTTTTGTTCCTAAAAAATTATTTAATTTTAGTTTCAGAACACCCGTTGAAATACTGCTTGACGATGCATTCCACCAAGCCAATAGAATACAATATCAGCCAACATTCTTCTCATATTTTGGCCTGCAGCATTTTGGAATTGTGCAAGAAGAAAGGAGAATATCGGCAGGTTATTCATCTCACTCAATGTTTTCATCAGTTGTTTAATAGTCTAAAGTTTTAACCAAACATTCAGTTACATTCAGATTTGCATGCTTATCTTTTGAGAGCCAAATGGAATGGCTTCATCGCTTGCGTTTACAACTCGTCAGCCTGTTTTTCTGTTCATCTGAAGACAGATCTATCCGGGAGTTTCAACGTTAGATCAACGAGGCAAAGTTTAACATGTTACGACATGATACCTCCAAAATATGGGTACGCGTTGTTTCAAGTTTAAATAGAAAATTTGAAAATAGAAAACTCTTTTTAACGGTTTGATTCCTTTGATTTCTGATTTAGAATGGTGGTTTCAGTATTAACTCAAATTGAGAAGGAGAGTGCCATCCTCGTTAAATGGGCCACCTCCTGTGGGGAGTGCCTTCCCGGCTCAACACTTTCAAGGTTCTACGAGATAAGTCCTGTTGCCGATGATTTACATTACCCTTCAATTGAAAAGAATTTACTCGCACTGCACGAACCTAGATACATGTCTAACTTTTTTATACAAGGTTAAACTTTTTCAAACTGTTAATTTTTTGTTTGTTTAATTAATCAGACCGTGATTTCTCATAATGTTGAATATGTATTCTTTTTTAAACGTCATTTTAACTCTTTTTTTTAATTTTTTTTGACACGTTCGTATTATTTCGAATTCAGTCTAAAAATGTTATAATTATGATCTCTACGTTCATGTCCTTGTTATGACGTTAAACTGACCCTCACTGCCTTGTGAGTGATGTTGGATCATCAAAGGCTAGGCCCACCGCTTATAACTGTAGTTGCGTAAGGAAGGGCGTCCTGCGTAAAAATTAGCCAAATAAATTACTTATTATGGAATGGCGTCGAGGGGTATTTCGGTTTCATCATAGGTAGCCAAACGGCAACTCCCGATCTCGGGGAAAATGTCGTCTAAACGTGTGTTTTTGTTGTTGTTATGATCTCTACGTTCAGTAGGACTTTAATTATTTCAATTAAAGGTTTATACTTTAGGGAGGTTTGGTTACCTTTACTTCAGATTGAATACTTCTTTATTAAACTTTCAACGTCATTGTCATCATTTTTATATTAAAATATTTGGTAAGTGGACTGTTTAGAAAATAATTTTTAACTTTATATATAACTTTGTTTGAAAACAAAACATAATATGTACCAGTTTGCTAGTGTTGTTTGATATCGCCGGGAATCAAAGACGGATCGTGGAGAGTTAGTCAGGTCATGTTTAATTATTTCGTACTCTTTCTTGAAAAGTTCTGTGTTGAAGTAACTCGCTCTGTTTAAAAAGATTAACAAATCAAACCGTCGTTTCGGCTTGGGTAGAGTGCCGTTTATGCATTGGAAAGAGATTTCGGCCAAATTAATCTTATGATGATCATTCGCGTCACATACGTACACAGAAAATAAATTTATTCATTGTGTTTCGCTTTTTATATAGAGTAAAACATTCGGTGTACTTGAAATAATTAGTTAAATATAAGATATAGACCTATACTAGATAGAGAAATTGTATTTGGTATCAAGTAACTGATATATTAATAATAATATTCAAAAATTGGCATAGATCTATCAAAATTCATTTTTTTACCGCTAATTATAAATCGACTCTTGATTTGATGACCGGTTGCAGCTGCTAGGTATGTAAGTTTAGTTACGTTTTCTTTCTATGTATTTAACGTCAGTGGTAACTGATGTTGAGTTGAAATTTCGTGTATTGATCGTTGGTGACACGTTGAACATTGAATATATCTAATAATGGATGTCGCCAGAGTTAAATTAATTTTAAAAAATTGCGATTGCGTTACCATCGATGTGGATTCAACCATTTGTTGCGATGAAACGGTAGATGAATTGGCTAAATTTTGGGGAAAAGAAGATGCAATTGTACCTATCACTACCTTAGCTATGGAAGGTCACTTGGATTTTCGAACGGCTCTAGAAAAAAGAATGGAAGTCTTAGACATTTCATCACAAAAGCTAAAAGTGTTTATTGCCGAGAAAAAAATTCAGTACACGCCAAACGTCAAGAAGTTTATTAAATTTTTACAGAATAGGTGCATAGCGGTCTACTTGATAACTGGCGGCTTTCACGAAACAGTCGACAACATCGCCATCGACTTGAACATTCCCCTCGAAAACGTGTTTGCAAATCGAATAATTTTTGACGAAACCGGTCGTTATTTAGGTGTCGATGAAACTGAATTAACGTTAAAGGACAATGTCAAGGCAGAAGTGATAAAAGGTCTGAAATGTCGTTTCAACTACAAAAGTGTAGTCCACATAGGAGATGGAATGAACGATGCCAAGGTCTGTCCTGTCGCTGATGCCTTCGTGGGGTATGGAGGTGTCGTCATCAGACAGAAAGTTAAGGAGCTAGCAGGCTGGTTCGTCACTGACTTCCAACAACTTATTGACGAAATGATGAAGTAATAATTTTTTGATTTTTATTTAAACAATGTTTTCATAGTTTTGTAATAAGAATGAAACATGTTTCTCATAAAAATTAATTTCAAATCTCACGTTAATCTGGTCTGTTATCTTAATCTAAGCGCGACATTTTGAAATCGTTAACTCAAAAATAATAACTGTTCGATAGTTTTGTAATCTCACAAAACTTAAATTGTGGGGATCCATCTTTCGCATTTTACGTACTAATGAAAGCTTTATTCTCTTTTAAATAAAAAGCATTGACTATTGTATACAAACTCATAATTATTTGTAGTAAATAAATTTGTAATAATAAATTTGTACAATATAAGCATTAATATTAAAGATTAATAAATTCACACTAGGTAGAGTAAATAAGATGTGCTTAATATAATGCGACTAAATTTCTGAAAATTTGAAATGATTTGCGGTATGCATTAGAACTTTGGCCTGAAAGATCTACATCCATAATAATGATAAATGCATGCATTTGCTGTATATTCAGTTGACTCTTATGATCTACAAGGTATCGAAGTGTAACAATTTAATTAGCTAAAAAGTTTTTTAACTCTCAATTTAAAACCAAATTAAAATTCTGTCTGTCTGTTTAAGTTTACCGCTGTCGTTAGAATTTTGATACTGTAATTGTAATGGTTAATTAGTGGTAGAAGTAGCAAGTTAACTTTGAAGTTTATCGCGTTAATTAACATATTTAACATGGATGACGGTGCCAAACAAGTGAAATTAATTTTCAAACATCGCGATTGCGTGACCATCGACGTGGACTCAACGATCTGTCGCGACGAGACGATAGATGAGTTGGCGAAATTCTGCGGGAAGGAGGATGCAATTATACCAATTACGACGTTAGCTATGGAAGGCCACTTAGACTTTTACACATCTCTCGTAAAAAGTCTACAAATTTTAGATATTACTTCAGAAAAATTGAAAGAGTTAGTATTGAGAGAGAAGAGTATTCAGTACTCACGAAACGTCAAGAAATTCATTAAACTTTTACAGAATGGGTCCATAGCTGTCTACTTAATAAACAGTCGACAACATCGCCATCGACTTGAACATTCCCCTCGAAAACGTGTTTGCAAATCGAATAATTTTTGACGAAACCGGTCGTTACTTAGGCGTCGATGAAACTGAATTAACAACGTTGAACAATGGCAAGGCAGAAGTGATAAAAAATCTGAAATGTCGTTTCAACTACAAAAGTGTAGTCCACATAGGAAATGGAATGAACGATGCCAAGGTCTGTCCTGTCGCTGATGCCTTCGTGGGGTATGGAGGTGTCGTCATCAGACAGAAAGTTAAAAAGTTGGCAGGCTGGTTCGTCACTGACTTCCAACAACTTATTGACGAAATGATGAAGTAATTTTTCTTTATTTCAAGTTTTGCAGCAAATACAATTTGTAACATAAAAAATTTATTTTAAGCGTCTATTGAGCTATACGGGTAGCCAAACCACAACCGTTTATTTTTTATTTATAGTATAATTAGGCAGACCATAACAAATCATATTAAAATATAATCTTTTCGGCGTCAGGTTTTTCACTATGAATTTGTCGAAAACGCTTTTCGGATCTTTGATGATTGCAGTTTTATTTTCTTCTTTATCAACTTTCTTCTTTAGTGGACTTTTGATTTCTCTAGACTTTGTAGATTTCAATGGATTCCTATCGTTGTTTGCAATTTTGTTATCCTCACTCTCAGGCTGTTCGTATCTTACTTGCCTGTTTATCGTTCTTTGCATGCATTCACCCGTGCTCAGGTTGCTCTCAAACAAATCTGAAAATAAAAATTTATCAATGCAATAATAGTTAATAATTCATTTAGTCAGTCTATTGACAACCTTTCAATAATTCAAAGAACCGAGTGTTGTTGTCAGCAGTTGAAGTGTACATCTGGTTGAGGAAGATGCACGAGACGCCGGCAAGACTCAGCAACATCGCAATAGCTGAAGGATTTTCGAGGCACGACATCTTCAGACTAAAAAATATTCATTTTTTTTAGTATCTTTTTAACTATTTTTAAACCGTACCTGTCCATAATCTGAAAGGAAATTAGTTAACCTCCTATCGCAAGCAAAATTCAACCGCCTGCTGTAACCCGCACCAGTTTGGCACAGATCAGATAGCACGATGATTGGACTTTCTGTAATAAAAACATTTTTCATCCTATATTGAGCCGTTTTTCAATCCTGAAGTTGTTAAATGAATCAAATAATATGCAGCAAATGCTCAAATAATTCTAAATAATACATAAATAGTAAACACGTAGGTAAAAATTACTTGATAAATTCATAACTGAAAGCTGTTTGAGACTTAAGATGTCAGTAAACTTTCCACATAGCATCATCAACATCGATCCATCCTTCGCTATTACTCTTTCCATCTCTTTTAAACTGGACAGACAATAATATTAAAAGCTTTAATAATATTACATAATAACATAATTTAGTATGATGTTATAAAAAAAATACAAGTATCTCAGTGGCGAATCCAGAAAATAAGGAATTCGGGAATTCATTCCGTCTCACCGAATATTAAAAAAATTAGAAACTAAAGATTTTTGAAAAATCGCTGATATCAGATAAATGCAGACGAACATTTCTTGATGAAAAAGTCTAAAATTAACACAAAAACCACTAAATATATCTACCGTCTAAAAAAAATTTGAGATCACCCATGAATAATATTTAACTAAAACTATCTGGATCGATCACTTCCACGTACCAATCTTTTAAATAATTAGACTTGACACGTACAAAATCAAACACACACACACACACACACACACACACACACACACATACACGTGTATATATAAAGAGAAAAACCAATTTTTTAAGATATAATATACCTAGGCGCGTGTTGTTCTCCTAAATAGCCAGTCCATTGAGACGTCTGCGTTCTACTAAGCTTCAGCATAAAATCCCTAAAAAGTTTTGATGGCTGGCTGTCTTCGACTGGATAGTAAAATTAAAAAACAGTGAATTTAAGCAACATTTCTGCTGTGTTGTTAATTTATTATTATTACTACTACTACTGCTGCTATTACTATTACTACTACTAATAATAATCATAATAGTTGTTAACCTACGCTGGATGTATCATTAAACGGATCGATTAGATCTGCGTGTTAGATTTTAATTAATTAATTAATCAATCATTTAATTAATAATTAATTTCATAACAATAATTTGCTATGATATCCGAGAAATGAAAGTACGAACATTTAAATGACGTTACGTCAACTTTTACTGTAGCGTTACCCTCAATGGCAGCCTGGTAATTTTGGTTTTTATCTTTACATAAATAAAATTATAACAAAAGTGAAGTAAAAATAAAAAAATAAATGAAGAATGTTGAAAATTAGATAAAATTATAAAGTCCGAAATTTAATATAGATTTTCAAGAGTACGTATATAGACTAGTACTTCACAAAGGAGTAGTATTGCAGTACACTCATGTGCACTTTAAAAATGAGTACAGTAAATTTAAATGAGCGGTATACAATTCAAAGATACTTGTAAAATACGTGTGCGCTTAAAAATGTACCGTCCTTAACCTTATTTGCCGCCCCTGCTTTGGCCTCTCTGTTCTTTGCAGATGATATATTTAAATCTTTCTTTGACCTTTTTCTCGAAGTTTCATCTATTAGTGACATTTTATTTATTTCCTTTAAATTAAGATATAAAATACGCGAGAATAATTCTTCAATATTCATTGTAAATTTACGGTTAAAATGAAAGTAACAATCGGAAATGATAATTGGTAAAATCCGTACCGGACTTGCCAGGAGTCGATTTCAGCATGTTCAGTCTGCTACGTAGCATGTTTATCGATATATCTCTGGCTATCGAGTTGACTGCCCTGTCCTCTCTGAACCACAGTAATGCTTGTGTGGGTGTTAAAAAATTATTCGTTAATTAGCATTCTGATAATTCGTTAGACTTAAACTTTAAAAAAGTACTAACATCATTGAAAAATTATACACGATCACACATTTTTCAAAATTTAAAGTTAATCTCCCTCTCAAATATCAATAGGTTGACTATTCTAGTCTTACATCAGTAATCGAATAATTCATCTCGCTCATAGCTCCTTATGGCAATTATTGTAAAAGTTATTTTATTAACTTTTAACGATACTTGCCATAACAATACATTTCTGCATAAGAATGGCCGAGCAAAATATTTCAATACGAATTTCAAAACGAAACGAGACGAGCCGATATTTCGTTAAAATTTATAACCTTCAAGGGGCAACTGCATCAAGTATGGATCAATAAGCAGAATCATTGCCCTCCTACTTGCATCATCTTCTTTACTATTGCGTAATATATATGTTATCAACGTTAACAAAGTTTTGTTCTCACAATTCTTATTTATAATTAATTGTGAAACTAATAAAAATGCAGACACACACCACACCCTCACACACACACAACACCCTCACACACACACACACAACATCACACTGTATAACAGTTTAAAAGTAGCAAAAATGCTTGGCACTTACCTAGAACAAGACCTCATCACTTTTATTAAAGGCTCCAGATAATCTTCTATCATATTCACAAGTTGGAAAAACTATTGAAAAATATAATTTAAATGACAAAAATGGTGAAAGGATTGGAGGAAATGATTAAGACTGATGTCCCTACCTCCTTTTCTAAGCACATGAATGGCTCGTCATTTGTACCTGTGATCTGTGCCAAGTTTTGATATCTTATTATGTTGATCTATATATGTGTGTGTGTGTGTGTACGTGTGTGTGTGCGTGTGTGTACATGTAAGTCAACCTTTCTATGCACGTCATAAGCTGATAGCTTCATCTCACTCTTCAGTAATGTCTGGATGATAAAAAGTTAAATTAAAATAACATGAAAATAAAAATGAATCAAGGTTGAAAGAAAGTTCATAAAAAAAACCCAGCAACCTCTTGCAGATCTTTCACATAACCCGACCACCTCTCAACCAAGTAGCAAATTTTCTTTGGGCATATCGACATTTTGAACACTCCCAATCCGTTATTACTTCCGTTGGCACACCCATCATCACCCTTACTGAAAACATCATCGTCGTCGTCGTCCTCATCATCATTCTCATCGCCGTCTTTTATTTTGATGTTCTGACTGGATGAACTCTTACTCTTCATGTTGACGTCAGATTTTTTACTCGTCTGCGAGATTTTGGATTTTTTTGGGATCGGCTGGGACTGCGAGTTAGTTTGCCGCACTACAGCTCCGTATAAGTGATTCCTGGATTGTTTACGTGTATAACGTTAACGTTAATGTTAATTACTCCGAATAATTAATTTCAGTGCTGACAATTTCTGTTAGATACCTGGAATTTAGCAAATTTAATCAAGAAAGTGTTGAAAATCATTTAAAATGCGAACCTTCGCGGACTATGGACAAATACGATGTATTGAAACTCAGTCGGTAAACTTGCAACATATGTTAAGTGCTCCAAAGAGACATCGAGTTTACCAACAGCCTATATGATAGAATTTTCATAAAATTTAGCAAAAAAACATTTTTATTATCATATCTATATTAATATTTTAACGATTTAGGTTGAAAATTTTGAAAAAAATGTTTAGACTACGAAAATCTGAAAAAAAGCCAAAACCCACAGGAAAATTAGCATTAAGAGCTTGCAGCAGATGATTGTATAGAGGATAGTTAGTGGAATTTCTGACGAAGGAATCATTGAGAAGTTGGTTCATCTGATTGAACATCGAGGATAAGTGGCTGATTGCTGGTTTCGGTAGGCAGTCGGTCAGCAGGTTTCTCAGATGTATACTGGATTCATAACTCTATGGCATGTGTCACGATTTAAAATTTATTTTCGTAGAATCAAAAATCAAAAAGAGTCAAAAAACTAGTAAGAATAAAGTAAAAAATGGAAGTAGGTTCTACAAAATATACATCAGATATTATTATTTAAAAATTAATAAATAGGAGAATGTTGTTAACAAACACCGACTTGATAAAGCAATAGAAATTGTTGTGATAGCATTAAGTCATGCTGTCCGATGCATTCAACAAGTTCCAACGCTATTTCGCTACCGAGTTTCTGGTTAAAATGTCCAAAAATTTGAAATAATACTATACTATTTATTATTAATTATAAAATAAAACAAAAAAAATATTACTTATATAAAATGTACTTGTTTTTTTGAGTATATATATATACTAAAAGAAACCAAGCTTGCTGTCGAACCAGGTGCCGATGAGGTTGAAGTAGGGTGAGAGCTTGCATGAGAAACTCTGTTGCCTTCAATAGGTTCATGTTGCTCTGCGTTGCTTCATTCTTTGTCATTCGTTTTTGTTTGGATTGATAAATGGATGAATAGATGAATTGATGGGTTGATGGACGGATGGATGAATAAATGAATGGATAGAAAGATGAAAAAACCAACAAACTTTCAATTTTTTTATGAAACTAGTGTATCTATTGTATTTGCCAATGTCGTATTTGTCAAACGAATATGCCTCGGCATCCATCTATTGAAGAAAATATAATCATAATAATATCACTACTACACTACTTACTACTGCTGCTACTATTGCTACTATTGCTACTACTACTACTACTACTACTACTACTACAAAAACCAACTGCACCTTGATGTTAGCGTCCCAGACGGAAGCTTGCTCGTAGCAGGCATTACACGCTAACAGTGCATAACACTTTCCATAAATGTAATATATCTTGATAATAATAAAAATAATAATAAATAATGATTATTATTATTATTACCATAATAATAGAAATAATAATTATTATTATTTTAAATTTTTTATGTCACCTCAGCCCTTTCATTAACGAGGCAGCCGCAAAGATTTATGGCCGACATCAGAAGACATGAAATCAATTCAGGGATTTTACTGAAATGTAAAATAAATAATAAAAACAATAATATTCATAATAATAAACTTGTGAGTGTGTTTGTGTGTGTGTGTGTGTGTGTGTGTGGTGCGTGCGATTAAAAAACTAACTCCATATATTTGTGCCAGTGATGCTCATCATCGGTGAGTTCGGCTGTGAGGCACATCTCTTGGAATAACTTCATTCATTTTTTCAAGTTGGTTTTTTTTAATTAAAGAGTGAAATTATTTATATACTAAAAAAGATTAGTTGAGTTAATTAATTAGAAGGAATAGATGAATGAACGAACGAACGAACGAACGAATGAATGAATGAACGAATGAATGAATGAAATAAGGAACTGTTAAGTGAATAAATAAATGAACTAAATGGCAAATCAGCGAAAAACGGTTGAATGAATAAACGAAGAAAGGAATAATTGAATGAATGATTAAATGAATGAATGAATGAAAGATGGGAAAAATGAACAAAAACTTAACATGAAAACCTTATCTAATGAATTTTTCTTGTTAAGTTTAAAATTTTCGACAGTCAAGCGATTGACGTGAAGCTCGAACATGGCTAGAAGCAGTCTCGCATGCCTCACCTTCAACTGGCATAGCGATCTTTCTATCATTATACTGCAGCCTTTGTGCTGCGTTGCAGTGGTGAATGAATGGATGAATGAATGATTGCATGAATGAATGGATGGATGAATGAATGAATATATGGCTTGATGAATGGATGGATGTATTTGCCGATGGATTATTGCATGCATGATTGCATGGATGAATTTATAAATGAATGAACAAAAAATGTAGATGGATGAATGGATAGAGCAATAAATGATTAAATATTAATAATAATGATAATAATAATAATAGGAATAGGAATAATAACCGACATCAACAACATGCAGACAAGATTTAATCCATCTATATTGCCTTTCCATCAAGTCACCCGCCATCTCGTAACACCCACACGCCTATGATAAATATATTTTAACATTTTTTAGTACATAAATTCATTTATCTTCTTTTTAATTCATCACTTCATTCATTCATTCATTCATAAAAAAAAAACACGAAACAAAAAAAAAACAAATGCGTACAACCTCAATTAAAATCTCATGCTTCAGATAAAGGTCACCATCACTACAACCCCAAAAATTATTATTACCATAATTACAATTACAATTATTATTATTGCCATTATTATTACAATTATTATTATCCTCGATTAATGTAATTATATTATTTAGCATGTCAGCTGCTGCCAATAGAACGTTAACGCCATCCTTGAGTTCATTCATTGAAGTTAGTTCGGCCGATATATCTTCCAGATTCTGTTGAATAATAATAATAACAATAATTATAATAATAATAATAATAATAATTATTATTATTATTATTATTATAATTACGCTGTGGGACATGTGTTCGGTTTCGTCAGAAATGATGGAAATTCCTAGGAGCAGGACAAAACTTGGTGCCAGATGTGTACAGGCTGCTCTGCAGAAGGTGTGGAGTGATCCTCCAGCGAGATTGAAGCAAATTATTTCAGAGAAAGATTACAGAAAAGAGTTTAAAAAGTTATTTGTTCAACGAAGCATTTAATCACTGTGCAATCCTCTGAGGAATGTCAACAGAGTGAATAACATAATTATAATTATAATTATGTTAATAATTATTATTATGATTATAACGGCGCTAACGTGAACGAGATGCCTAAACTCGTGGATTATATCGTCATCCTTCGTGTATTTCAACATTTCGAATTTGTTCTTGCACCGCTCAACGATCAACAACAACTTGTAATGTTTTCTTGTTGTTCTTAATGTCTTTGTTGTTGATGTTGTTGTTGATGTTGTTGTTGATGTTTTTGTTGATGTTTGGTTTTCATCTGCAGGTTTAATTAAATGATGATACGCTTAAAAGTTTTAAATCGTAAATCTTAAAAGAGCTTAAAATAGAAGTTTTAAACCATAAACAAAATACAAGCACAAATACAAACATACAAACAAACAAACAAACATACAAGCAAGGACACCTACAAACAAATGAACAAACAAACATATATACAATCACACATATACAACACATACCATCCAAGACAGCCAGTGCATCAGAGATAAAACAATCCACCTGTATGTGTATCATTGTATCATGATTAAACATTAAAAAACTTGAAAATATAAACAAAGATATAAACATAAACAACAATATAAACATAGACAACAAAACATAGACGACAAGACATAGACAACAAAACATAAACAATGACAACAACCACAGACTTTACAAATCCTTTTATAATGAGCCATGGAATCGAAGTCATCATCATCGTCATCATCTGCGAGAATCACTATCATCAACATCACACATTTTATCCAACTGGTTTCATCTATATCTTCGTATAACTATTCAATTAATTAATTAATTAATTAATTAATTAACCAATTAATTTGGCTGGTGTGTAATTATGCCACATAAAATATGTAAACGCTGTATGAATGTTTCATACATTCTTTATGGTACGAGGGTTTAAAAGGCGGAATATAAACATCAACAACAACATCTGCAACATCAACAACAACAGCATCAACAACATCATCAACAACAACATCAACAACAGCAACATCAACAACAACATCAATAACAACAACAACGACCAATGCTTTCTCTGCATATATAGCAGCGTGTTTGTAATCACGTTCCTGGTGCAACAGCACTGCCATGTTATAATGTACATCACGTAGAGCCTCCATCCTCTTCACAGACTGTTTAATTATGATAGAAATAATAATAATAATAATAATATTATTATTATATTTTATTATTATTATTATCAACCAAAACATCATCATTATCGTCAGTACCGTTGCAGCCTTTTCAGCATGTTGCAGATATTCCAGGGCCACTTTGTAGGCACACTGCAAAACAACCACACACATAAAATTTAAAGTTTGTTCAGAATAATTAATGTATTATGTTAATGATCAGCTCATATGTTAATTGAAAACCAACTCTAATGAATAATTAGAGTTGGTTTGAGAAAGTTATATCCTAACAGGAAAAAAAGCAAACAAATTTGCATATGTAAATGAAAAAACCGTATTCTAATGAGAAAAATATGCTAATAAGTCATAATCGTATATGCTAGTGGCAAGCCTGTATGTTAATGAGTAGATTTTAATAAGTTACTGGACCTGTTTGATGCAGATGACAGCAATTTCGATGAAGATGTTGATGTAATCGAGGCTATCTGTTAGGCTAATGAAAGTATTAATGTTGTTGTGTGAGGTTGCTTCGCTAGTTTTGCTGATGCTTTCAGAGGTGCAGTTGATGTTATCATCATTGTTGATGTTGTTATTATTATTGTTTCGTGTATTGTTGTTGCTGTTGTTATTATTATTGTAGTTGTTGTGTCTAGATGGCGCGTTGTTTTGTCTAAGGATCTTATTGCATGTTATTGATCTGTTCAATTCTTCAGTGGCTACGTATTCGAACAACCTGCGTTCGTGAAGTTACAAATTAAAAGAAACATTTTTCACGGCGACCTCACTCAGCTCCTCACTTGGAAAGGTCTCGCTGGTCGACCTTGAACTTGCACTTCTTGCTGTGGTGACGAATGCCATCGGTCAAGTTCAACTCCACGCATGTGTCCAACAGTCTGTCGTGTTTGTGTCAATCAATCAATCGATCAATCAATTAATCAATCGATCGATCGATCGATTAATCAATCAATCAATCAATCAATCAATCAATCAATCAATCAATCAATCAATCAATCAATCAATCAATCAATCAATCAATCAATCAATCAATCAATCAATCAATCAATCAATCAATCAATCAATCAATCAATCAATCAATCAATCAATCAATCAATCAATCAATCAATCAATCAATCAATCAATCAATCAATTATTTTATCAATCAATCACTACATTAATCTACAAATTAACTAATTAATTAATTATTCAATTAATGAATTAATAAGTTAATCTAATTAGAAGTTAAAAGCGCCTGGACTAGTTTTGCAGAGACGTGACTATCTTCATGGGCAAAAATTTGCTGCGTTCATACGCTATGTGCGGTATTTTTGATATAACTTAACAGAGCAGTGGAGAAACTATGAATAAATTTATTTAATCATAATTATATATAATAATAATAATTCAGTAATTTATGAACTGCATGTGGAATAGGTTTCTCAGCGAATCAGAACGAGGGAGAAAACATCTTGAAAGTACGTCCACCAATAGGAAAACAGGAAATATAAAAGGGTGGAGCGATAATTTTCTGTATATTTTGACCAGCTTTTTCAAAAACCAGGTAGTTAGGTTCTGAATGAGGTAATATAAAATGTCAACCGATCAATTGAATATTTAATTATTTTATAAAAACAATTCATTCAACATTTAATCACAAGTTAATTAATCATTAAAATATAAATGAAATGAATTTATTCAAAAAATTAAATTATAAAAATTGATCAATATTCCTGACTGATTTTGGAAAATTAAATCTAGTGAATCCCCTATCGTGAGGAAAAGTTGAATGCCTAAATGTGGCAATGACGTCATCGCTGACGTCAAAAGTTGACCAACCAATCAGAGTTCGAGGAATGATATATGGGTCTGGCTTTTCCGGGATTCCCTGTGTAGGAATATGAAAAATTAGGTCAGAAATTGGTAAAAAATCAATTAAAGGTCTCTAAAATGTAAACTAGCAATATACTGTTAGTACATTACATTTATATTGAAAGTAAAATACGAACGACTTACGTAAGTACACTGTAAGTACATTGTAAATACATTGTAAGTACATTGTAAGTAAATTGCAAATAAATTGTAAATAAATTGTAAATACATTGTAAGAAGATTGTAAGTACGTTGTAAGTACGTACTTCTTGCTTCTTCATAACTCTGGTCGACTTTTTAGAAGTTACGCTAGGCTTACTTCTCTTGTTACTTGCGTTGATATTTTCATCATCGTCGTCGTCGTCGTTATCATTATCAGTATCATTGTTGATGTTGTTGTCATTATCGTTACCTTGGTTCTTATTATTATTATTATTATTGTTTTTATTGCTATTATGTGAGCTATTTTTTATTTTATTATTTTTACCATCGTTACCGTCGCTTACGTCATCAACAACGTCATCATTGCTGTCATCAACGCTATTGTTATTGTCAGTTGAATTGTTGTTATTATTATTATTATTGTTGTTGTTGTTGTCAGTACTTTTATTTTTATTCTTATTCCCGGTGACAGAGCTGGGTTTCCGGTTGTCAGCTTTTTTATTTTTCAACTTTTCCTTTTTGCTGTCGCCATCTTTCAACGAAGAGTTAATGACGTCAGCGTGCTGTTTAATTACGTCACTGATGTCTTCGAAGCATACCTTCGTGTTGACGCGTTTTTAATTTTTGTTAAAGTCATTTCGTCAATCCTGACGATGATATAGTCTTTATTCAAAAGTGTGTTAACCATAAAACAATATGGAAAAAAATTGACAAAATAACAACTGGCTTTCCATAATACGCAAAATAACAACTGACCTTCCATAATCTCATGACGATGTGATGGCTCATGAGGCAGGCTTCAATCTGATTGGTCGAACCCGGGTCAGAGGTCATGGCTAATGTGACGTAACATTTCAAAAGGCCGTCCAAGCGCTGTGCGTCGGATATACCCTGCAACTTCACTGATATTGCTCTCTGCTTGAAGTCTTAAATAAATAAATAATGAATAAATGAATAAATTAATAAATGAATGAATAAATAAATAGATGAATGAATGAACGAACGAACGAATAAATGAATGAACGAACGAACGAACTAATGAATGAATGAACGAACGAACTAATGAATAGAACACAAAATGAACAAATAAATAAATAACCACTTTTTAATTCATTTATTTTGTAAGTATAAAAATACAACAAAACAAACAAACGCCAATTTTAACCTAAATTCAGTTTCTCTCTTATGATAACTTTCTCTCTTTCTTCATTATCTCTCTTCATCCTCACCCTCTCTCCATCTTCATCCTCTCCTTTATTGGCTTTCGTAGCACTAGACGATCTAATTTTTTTACGATTTCCAAACTTCATACTATCGTTTGCGGACTTTCGATTTTTCGTCTTAGTTTCACTTTCGCTTTTATTTGTTGTTGTTGTTATTCTTCTAGAAAAATCTTGATCAGCTGTCACGGTCGTTATTGTTAGTTAATTAATTTGTCAATTGTAATTAAAGAGTCATCGTCGTCGTCATCCTCATCATCATCTTTACCTTGACATTGAAGACCAGCTATAGTTGAAAGAATTTGAATGGACCAATGAACGAGGTCCCGTACATCATCACGTGATTCATTGTGACCAATCAGACAGTGGGAAAACTCCAGAAGGCATTCAAATTTCAGCCAATCATATTGTTCAGACTGCCACATACAAAAGAAAGGGATGATGATGATGGTGATGGTGATGATGATAATGTAAACATTATATCATCACTATTTCAATCATCATCATTATTGTCATCATCATCATCATCGTTGAACATTCTGGGAAACCTGGAGAACTTCAACAGCATTCTGATAAGCCATTATCTGCGCGTGTGGTTGCCTACTGTGTCGTGCCACATTCATCCAGACCTCGTGTTGATAGTCTTCTGCATCTAACTTCATTCATTCATTTCAATCCGTCAATCAATTAATCATTCATTTATCCAATCGTGTGTTTGTTTGTTAATTTATTCATTCAATTATCCATTCATCCACTTATTCATTTGCTCGTTCATTCTCGTTCGTTTATTTGGTTTTCATTCATAATTTCAACCCGTCAATCGATCAATCATTTAATTAACAAACTCATACTCAACACACACACACACACCACACACAAACACACAGACACACACACACACACGCACACACACACACACACACACACACACTGACACACAAACACGAATAAACACAAGCACACACGCAACGACCGACTTGAAACTTGTACATGTAAACATGTATGTTAAGGCCCATGCTGGATCTCAGGTACACCAACTTTTCATACAATCTCCTTTTAAATGGGGCGTGGTTTTAGACGATGACGACGATGATGAAGACGACGAAGACGATGATGACGATGATAATGAAGGCGACGACGACGATGATGATTAGGATGATACTGATGATGTGATAAATATTCTCCAACCTTTTAAATATGGTATCAGACATTGGCTGTTTGATTGCATGCTCCAATGCATCTAAAGCATTTTCATAGTCGCCCTACCAATCAATCAATTGATAATCACTCAATCAACCAACCAACCAACCAACCAATCAATCGACAAACCTCATCCATGTAAGTTCTAAACAGAAGTTCATTAAGCAGACACAGCAGATCCGAATTCTCATCAATAATAATCCTCTTCCTCGTCATCATCATCTCCTCCCTTTCTTCCTCGTCATCATTATCTCTCTCTTTATTATAATTAGCTTCTTTTGTTTTCACTTCGCCCTTCAATCCATCCTTCTCTTTTTCTTTCTTCGTTGATTTATTCTTTCCATTTACCGTTGATGTCTGTGCACCATCAAAGTTTTCAAGTTAATATACGCATACGTATATGATTGGACAGAAATAAATTATGAATACGAACAATAATATGAATGAAACCATTCTCTATTAAGTAATTATATAGCGCCTAACAATTCTCTTCTACATTCCTCATTATGCGTTATTCTTATCATTTGCTATGGCTGAATACCTGTTTGACAACTTTTGCAGAATTGTTGATATTTCGATTGTTGATGTTGCTTTTGATATCATTATCACCACCGCCGCCGCAAAGTTTGTGGCTAGAAGCTTGTAGCAGCTTCAGCAGCTGCTGAATCTGTGGTCTCAGTTTGATTCGGTCACATGACCTGATTGCTAAGGAGCTGCATGCGTTCCAAAACATCCGAACGCTGTACCAGACGAGATGGCAGTTGCTTCCTTCAAATGCGTGTCTGTTTGTTTGTTTGTTTGTGTGCGTGTGTGTGTACGTTTGTGTGTTTGTATGTTTGCATGCGTGTCTGCATATGTGTTTGTATGTGTATTTGTAAGTTTGTTTGTGTGTGTGTGTGTATGTTTGTTTGTATGTTTGCATGCGTGTCTGTATGCGTGTTTGTATGTGTATTTGTATGTTTGCACGTTAGTATGTGTGTTTGTATGTGTTTGTTTGTTTGTTTTCAAATTCTAAAAACACCGCCAGTCAACAATACAAACTGTGCTGATGTAACAAAATAACATGAGGCTTTCAAAATCATTGCCGTTGATAGAAACTGTTGTTGCTGATGTTGTTGCTGCTGCTGCTGCTGCTGCTGTGATGAAATCATTCGGAAAGCATGTTTCTTTATAATGTACTGACCACTGAAGACGTCCACGTAAGCTAGCAGGTATTTATACCTCGTGTATAGCTCTCTGAAATGTTATTATTGTTGAATTAACGTGTGAATTAATAACAACAACAACAACAACAATAATAATAATAATAACAGCAGCAACAACAATAACAACAATAATAATAATAATAACTGCAACAGTGAAAAAGAAAATTTTGAAATCTCACGGATTTTTCTTCAAAAACTTAACGTCCAGACAAGCCAGGAGTGTTGTTAATTCTCTGATACAGTTTTCAATGTTGACGCTGTCTGAGCTGTTACTGTTGTTACCTTTGATTGCTGTTGTTGTTGTCGTTGTTGTTAGTTCTTTCTTTTTAAAAGTTGGTTTGTAGCTGTTGTAGCTACTTCTGTTGCTGCTGGTGTTGTTGTTGGTTGCGTTGTAGTTGCTGAGACAGTGTTGCAACAAGCTTAGCCACAATTCAATGGCGACCAGCAATTCTCTTTGCAGCATTTTATTGTCAACGGGTTTTAAGCATGTCAGCGAGTTGTTGTTCCTTGTTGTTGCTGTTGTCGTTTCTGATGCTGCCTCATCATCGTATTTTGATTTTGTTTTCTGCTTGTAGTCAGGCAACCATTCGCAACTTTTCAGCAAGTTTATAACCTTCGTCATTTTAAAATCAACATTTTTATTATAAACACTTTTATATTTAATTAACACACACACAGATACACGCACACGCACGCATACACACGCATACACACACACATACGGACACACATGCAACAACAACAACAACAAACAACATCAACCTCAGTTATGTTGAACATGTAAGGATCTTTATAGTCGAAAGCAGTGTCAACGAACGAACCGACAGCATCAGCACCACCAGCGTTCGCGGTGAACGGTTTGCCAGAACAAACGTTCATCATGCAAACGTCGTAACGACAGCCGCTGCTACCACTGCTGCGGCTGGCAAGGTCGATGTATTTTTGTGGGAACGTTAGCAATTCTATCGCAACTATTGATTTGAACTTGTTAACATCGGTTGACATCTGAATAAGTAAATAAACAAATAGGTCATATAAATATATGCTATGGTCAATACGGCAAGTCATCCATTACATTTAAACTTTAATATAATACAACCATAACTAATTAAAATGCCGTTACGTGCCTCATTTAAAACATTCTCACTACATTAGCCAATCAAATGCTGCGTTATCTTACATTTTTCAATTAAAAATCTATTTTTTGCAGCCCTGCAATCAAGAACCTTGTTCGAGTTAGCCACGCCCAAGTTCCCGCCAACAGACACTCTCGTCAATTGTTTACACTGTACCCAAGCTCTCAATAAATTCATCATGGTATGCAGTGAACATCTGTTATGGTAGCAATCATAACTGTAGTAGGGCACTGGCTGGGCTGTGAAAATTTTGTCCAATGCCAGTTGACAGATCTGTGTGTGTGTGTGTGTGTGTATGTGTGCGTGTGTTGTGTGTGTGTGTATGTGCGTGTGAGCGTTAAACAAACCTCAGAAGCTAATTGAATGTTCGTTGATGTTGTCGTTGTATCCTGTTGAGGCATTTTATTTTTTTTTATTTCTTTAATGTTAAAGTTGTTGTTGTTGTTACTGTTGTTGATGCTGTTGCTAATGGTGGTGTTTTTATTTTTCTTAACTGGCTTCCGACTCCCATCTTTTTTGTTTTTGTTATCGCTAACATCTTCATTAGATTTTTCTTGACTGACGTTACGAACTTCCTCCATAATAAATCTCCGGACTAGGGATGTGCTTGCCACGCTGCACATGTTGGCCAACACCTCTCTATCTCTGTTTGTGTGTATGTGTATGTGTGTGTAGTGTGCGTGTGTGTGTGTGTGTGTGTGTGTGTGTGTGTACGTACATAGTGTAAGTGTATGTGTACTGCGTGTGCTTTGTATTAATTGGCAATAAATTTTTATTCAACAAATCCCATACTAACACGTTACCCTTGAAATCTTTCAAAATAGGAAGAAGCATTTTCATAGAATCGACAACTCCATCGTTACTACAACTACAGCCACCACAACTACAGCCGCCGCTACTACAGCCACCACCGCTACTACAGACGCCATTACTACAACCATCACCAGTAGCGACAATAAAACATTGGTGGTAATTCCAGAGGTATTTTAGTGCGGCGCTCACTAGCCAGTCTTCATTTGACGTTGTCGTTGGTGTAGCTGCTGTTGTTGTTGTAGCTGCTGCTGTTGTTGTAGCTGCTGCTGCTGTTGCTGTTGTAGTTATTGTTGTTGTGGTTCCTAATTGACAAGCCCTGACAAAGCATTTGATGGCCAATTTGCTCAAACTTTTCAGATATTTTCTTTTTTTGGGCCGTGGGTAAGATTATTTAATTAACTAGTTAGTAAATGATATTATAATTATTTGTTGTTATTATAATTATTATTATGACGATGATGATGATGACGACGAAGATGATGATGATGATGACAAAAAAGTATAATATGACATTAATTACATGTAAGCCAGCCATTGCGGTTCATCTTGATAATGATGTTTGTTGCAGTGCGGCAACGAGCAACATGTCTCCAGAGACATTTCTACGTTGTTGCTTCTTAAGATCTGTATCAGGGCCTATGAAATGTCACCATCACCATAATCATCATCATTATCGTCATCACCATCATCATCATCATTATCGCCATCACCATCATCATCATTATCGTCATCATCGTCATCATCATCAGCATCAGCATCATTATCATAACCAACCTCTCCTTTGATCATGTAGACTTCGGCTAGGGTCCTTAATAACTCTTTCCTCATCAAATCGCTGACTTCATTTTTGCACTTACCATCATCATTATCATCATCGCCATCATTATCGTCATCGCCACGGTCATCGTCACTTGTGACGTCATTTTTATCATTTTTGTTTCGCGCCATTTTAATTGTGTAGTCGTCATTATTATTGTTGATGATGTCAACGTTGACGGTATTATTATTGTTATTATTATTATCATTATTGTCGTTGTTGTTGTTGTTGTTGTTGTTTGGTTTTTGACTTCTCGGAGGCTTAGTTTTTTCAAGAATTCTGAAGAAAAAATTAAATTAAATTAAATCAAATTAAATTGAAAAAAGCCCATCAAAATAGAGCAAACAAACAAACCTATCTTTAGAAAGATGGACACCATTATCAGCAGCACCACCACTACCCTCAGTAGCAACTATATCACCACCACCACTACCACCACAACCACCACTACCATCGTCATCGTCGTCATCAGCTTCGAACCAAGTACCATCGTCGTATTGAAGACAGAAATCGCAGGCCACCTTACATAAGAGCCGGAACCCACGTTGATGGGTTAGTCTGCATAGATCACTCCATATCATCATCCTGAATGAGTGAATGAATGGATGGATGGATGAATAGATGAATGGATGGATGATAGATGAATGGATGAATGAATGGATAAATGGATAGATGGATGAATGCCAGAAATCCCAAAATTTTGAAAAAATTTTATGTTTTAGAATGAAAAAATTAGCCTATACGGCAAACAGCAGCCAACCAATCGACCAGACAACCACGCAATCAACTGACGAACTTTTCAATCCTATTACGTTCCTTCGCCTTCCTCTTCTTGCGAACGATACACCTCCACTCTTTCGTCCATCCATCATGCACCAGCAACCTACCAGCAATCCATCTCAGACAGCCATCTACATCGAGCAATCCATCGTTCATCATGTCTGAGTGGTGATGATGATGATGATTTTGTGATGATGTTGTGATGATGGTGATGATGTTGTGATGATGATGATGGTGATGATGATGTTGTGATGATGATGATGATGTTGTGATGATGATGACGATGGTGTGATGATGGTGATAACGACGATTTATATTCTTACATTTCAAAGTAGCACCAACCACAAATATTAAAGTGGGAATTATATGCCTGCTCGAAATGTAACTGGGACATCAGTTGACCCACTTTGAAGAGCACTGATTGGTCAACATCTCGTGTTTGTGGACGTACACTACGTGCCTAAAATATACACAAATGTATCTTAAACACCACATAAACAAATGTACAAATGTATGTACACCTATATATATATATATATATCCATACATACACTACATATATATTTGCTAGAAACACACACACAAACATGTACAAACATGCTCCAGTAACTGAGCCGCCCTATCTTCGAATCTTTCCAGGCATGAGCTCTCCACTTGGAGGCTTGCATCAAGACGACGGTGAAGCTGTATGATGACGTCACTGTATGTACCGTCATCATTATCAAGAGCCTTTTTATTATTATTATTATTTTGTTTTTGTTGTTGTTATTTGTTGTTTTTGTCGGTAGTATTCTAGTTATTATACTAATGCTACAACTAAACCAATGCTATTATTACGAATAAAATTAATAATATTCAAATAATAATAATAATAATAATAATATTATTATTATTATTATTATATTATTATTATTATTATTAACCTTATTAATATGCATCAATGCACCCTCCAGATCATCATCATCTCTTTCACATTTTGATAATTCGAAATGTATCTGACATCTTATCTTATGCTCCTGGCTATACAAAAAGTACATACATAGATACATACAAACATACATACATACATTAACGACAAATCAAAGTGTTAATCCATTTGTTACTTGATGTTTGACGGTTCAGTGTCACTCATCATGTTTTGGTTTTAATATACATACATACATACATACATACATACATACATACATACATACATACATACATACATACATACATACATACATACATACATACATACATACATACATACATACATACATACATACATACATACATACATACATACATACATACGTATGTATGTATGTATGTATGTATGTATGGTACGATGTCGCGAGCGGTTTGCATTAACGAGTTATTGTGTTATTTATTTAATAATTCTGACAAAATTGACGATGCGGAATTCATTTACGAAATAATGGATTTCTACAATTGTGAAGATATTAGAATAGCAAAAAAAATACTTACCAGCGATCTAGATGCGTTAAATCTAGAAAAAGATGATAAAATAAAGCCAAACAGTTCTGGAAACTCTAAAAAGGACAAGGTTAGTGATTTAATACTAACAATAAAAACAATTCTGAGCAACAAAATTGAAAGCAAATTGCCTCAGTATGCTGCTCTCAACCTTTTTAAAATTCCAAGCTCAAAAAAAGCTAAATTTGAGTCTATTCTTGACGAAAAGTTAAAAAAATTAGAAGAACTATTTATTGAAGAAAGAAACATCTTCCGAGAAATAGTAAATGATGCGGCTATTAACAATAGCCCAAAAGTAGAAAGAAAGCAGCAATCTGATTGCAAGACCGAATCGAGCAAGCAATCTGACTGGTCAGAGATTGTAAAACGTAAAATTAAAAAGAGCTCAAATGTTCAACACGTGGCGAATGTTCAACACGTGGCGAATGTTCAACACGTGGCGAATGTTCAACACGTGGCGAACATCAAAATGTTGAAAACAAAGAAAAAAACACACAACACTAACATAGCAAATATGAAAACAGTTATAGGCACCCAAACTGATAAACAAACAAATTTGAAAGCGATGAAACCTTCGCCAAAAAGAAAAGTTTTTTACGTTGGTCGATTGGACCAACAATGCACTGCAAAAGAGTTAAGCGAACACATAAATGGATTGAAAATTGAGGTGCTTGGTTGCTCAGCAATCATAAACTCAACTTTTAATCGCCGCTCAAAGCAAGCTACAACATCGATCAACACACAAAACACGAACTCTGACAAAATCGATGTTCAACAGACAAGCGCTGCATCAGAG